TCATAAGTAGCATCGCAAGGGTACACAGCTGGGCGTCTCCAACTGCTTCACCAGGGTCCTAAAGTATTTTAGCAAACCTAAACCATTCCTGCACCAACCTAAACCACGCCTGAAACAAGACCTCCCTAAACCAACCCTAAACCATCCCTTAAACAACCCTAAACCAAAACAAAACAATCCCTGACCTAAAGCTAACCCTAACCCAGGAATCCACTTTCATCAATTTGTTCACGATTGGCGGGTTCAGTGGTACGTGTGACCAGTCACTGATTGGGGAAGCGTGAAACGTCCATGATTGTCGTGCCGGTCCCTGCCGGTCCCTGCTTGGTTGCCGGTCACAGGCCGTGGGTTTGCCTTCAGTCCCGAGGTGCCGACACGTAGGTTGCTGGTGATGCTGGGGGTTGCTGCCAACCTTGTGATTGTTGGGTATGGTTTTGTTGTGATGCTGGGGTGTTGCTGGGACCCGTCGAATCCCACCGAAAGAATCTCTTGGGATCTGTTCTTGCAGAGGCTGGGAGTGTCGCTGGCGATCCTCTCGTTGGAATCGGAGACATGGCGATAGGGTGCGAGTGTCCGGCCTCGAGTGACCGTCGTAAATGTGGGTTGCTCCCGGCTGGGTTGCCACTCCGACCTTTGGCGGATGATCCTGGATGTGTGAGAGAAGTGGAGATATTGCAAGCGTAAGTCCCGGGATCGCAGCTCTGAGTTTGAGGTCAGAAAGAACTGATGTGTTCGACCCAGGAAAGGTGAAGCATTTTTCCTCGACTGGATACACCGTCCCGATTGGCGTGCGGGCAGTGCGGTCGGCTATTGGTAGGTCACCTGAAAGCAACATTAGTCTACGCTTGATACCTAGAAAGGAAGAATATAGTCCAAAGACCTCTCTTGGATTCTATGCTTGATGAGTAGTCCACCACCTAAGTTCCGAAGCTGCCCTACAACGAGCACTGAAGAGTGTCAACCTACACCTGAAGAAGAGCATAGTGCAGCATGAAGCCATCCCAAATCGTATATTTTTAGCTTAGAAGACCTGCGGTCCTCTATCTCAGGAAGAGTCAGCCCAACCAGCAACTACCCTCCCCAAGCGCCCTCTCCCGCAGACGGTGTCGGCGGACTTAAGCCGGAATCGATCATGGAGTCACGACTTCGTTTTCTTCTTATGACTGCTTGTAACTCTAAACAGTGAAAAGACAAAGGGCACTCAGCATACCGTGCTACGAACAAGCTGCAAAATTCCAGCCAGAGCTGCGGAAGTACACCTTGCGTGTTGCTTTAGTATACAGTTGCAGCTTTCCAGCCGGAGTGGCGCACTACTTTGGCACTCAAAAGTTGCGACTTTTGAGCTGGAGCTGTGGCTTTCCTGCACTCCTGCCATTTTTGGACACGAGATTGTTTAGCCTGAGCCGGTCATGGCACCAGAAGCCGCTCAGCCCAGGCGCTGGTGACCAGTCGTGGCACCAGTTGTGGGATGTGCGCCCATGAACAGAGTAAGAATCCCGTGCCCGCAAGTTGCCAGAGTCGAGTCCAGTCAGGGCAGAAAGGTTAGCAGATTCTGCTTGGAAGACGCATGTCAGTCAGATGCTACAATTCGCATGCCAGGATTTGGCTTTGGATGCTTGGGTGGACCAGGCCAGGACCAGCTTTCCCTGCCCTGGGTGCCCATGATCATTAGCGACGCTTCGTTGAGAGCCCTTTGCCTTTGTCGGTGTTGCGCTTGGGGCAATCGGTTTGCTTGAATCTGAACGAAGTCGCTGCTTGAAAGTGAGAACCAGCCTGGCTGCTTGATGCCCGCTAGGTGTCTCACGTGAACCAGATGGATGAGAAGCTAACTATTTCAGAGTGTGCATCTCAACGCTGCCAGATAAGCGTTTGCTCCACAGCATTGTTCTGGTACTTGCACCCTAGGCTGCAAAAGATGGCAGAGTTTTTCTCGCACCACAGACACGGCCTAAGTATGTGCCACGAAAGATTGTGTGCACCCATGCAGCTGCTTCAGGATTGAGTGCGACATTTTCTCATTTGAGCGGTGTTTTATGTGGGATGAAGGCCCACATCTTCGCGGCGACATTTGTTGCCTGTCGCGTAGGTGTTTGACTGACAGGGAGCATGCGTAGGCATTTCGCGGAGGCTCGTGTTGCGAAGCTTTGCGTAGGCAGTCCCGTAGGCGACCGTTCATGATCTTGAACTGTCACGTGACATGTTGAGCATTGCTGTTGTGCAAGACACTGTTTGTGAATGGCAGTTTGGCGCAAGCTGGCGGTTGCTGGCGGAGGGAGGAGAAGGTCCGCTTGTCCGGTAGCGCAACTGGAAACTCGTACTGCGGCGCGGCAGCTAGTAGACTCGGTGTGCTAATTAGTAGACCTGTTGCGCTAATTGGCAAATTCAAGCATATCTCGAAAGTCCACAAAGGCAAGCAAATGTCGCGCCGACGCCACGGAGGCAAAGATTTGGTCAAACTTGACTGCAGCCTACCGCAGCCGACTTCAAGCGTGTGACCTTCCAGCATGCTCCCGTCCAAGCGCGATCGCAACGAACCTCTCCGTAGCTGAGTGTAAAAAGTTTCAGCTCGTTGTTGCGTAGGCGGCGCAGGCCGTGGCGTAGGCGCCGCGTAAGCAAGTAAATACTGATAAGGACCCACGCAACAAAAACAACACCGCTCATTTGCAGGCTACGGACCATACAATGCGTGCAGTGGCAAGCTGGTCGAAGCAGAAGAATTTCATTGCGAAAAGTACTACCAGGGCGAGGACAGGGTAAACACAGCATGTGAGATGCCGTCCCAGCTGTTTCTGATCCTGAGATCGTATTTGTGCTTGTAGAAGAAACACAGAGCCTGAGTCAGATGTGCTCTTTTGTATTTCGCTGGTTGGCACTTGACAGGTGACAGGTGTGTCAGACACGTGTTTGTGCCGTTTCTGTAGGATTGGGGCCGAATCAACGTGGAGCCTGACAGAAGTGCATCTGCCTTGCTGGTACACACAAAAACCTTTCTGGTCAGCTTTGATATGACAAGGCAAGTTTTGTCGAGCCATGACCTGCCAATCAAGTCTCATGATTGCGGCAGGCCTGTGAAGGTTAAAGCTGCCATTGCTCTTTTGAGCAACCTCTTCACAGCAGGATGCTCAATGTTTCCCAGCATGCCTTGTCCTAGTCAGCCAGCAATCGATGTTTTGGTCTGAGGTTGTGGTGATGCTTTTTTTCGGAGTTGCCTTATCTGCAGTAGTCACTGATTTGGCTGTGACGCCGCTGGAAAGAATGCTGGGGACCGGTGTCGTCTTTCCTCCTGCATGCCAGCCATGAGAAAAGAAGTGACACCTCAGAGTGACGCTAGCCAGGACTGTTCGAGAAATCGCTGCGACTGTCTTCAAGTTCAGCTGGGATCTAGGTGCTACCAGAGTGATCACCGTTGATTGCCGCAATACAAGGCTCCCTCATGGTCGGACAAGAAGACGACGAGGGTCAGCCAGAAGAGACGACAGAGATTGATAACGCTGGCGAGATGATTCTTCTGGAGAAGGCCTTATTATTTGTTTGGCAGTCTAGGCATATGAAGTTGTTTGTTCTGCAACATGGTTGAAAGCTATGTTCTCCCGTGATAAAGCATTGTGAATGCGGCTGCGCGTTTCTTTGGCTCAAGAATGTCTTTGAGTCATGGCTGCGGCTCGCAAAGCTGCCCTTGAAGCAAAGCTGCAGCAGATTCAGGAGCTCTTGAAGGGGGCGCCGGCAACCCCAGTGGAGACTGCCTTTCCATGCGCAACTGGTCCCTCCGACCAGTGCTTGGTCAAGTTTTCCGATCGAGAGATAAAAGTCGTGATAGGCACGTCGGAGCACATTCAGCAGCCGCTTGTGGACCAGATTTGTCACATCGTGGATGCGGCCTACTCGAAGGTGGGAAAGCACAAGCGAGTGGATAGATACGATGCCGTAGATCGTGGCTCATCTACTTATGAGCAATTGAGCATTGTGCAAGTCCAGTTTGCAACCTTGGCCCGCCTTGGCCACATTTATTGGCAAGGTTGTGGGTTATGGTGCTTCTGCATTAGCCGCGTATTTGTACTGAGGCTTGGAGATGGGCGATGCCGGCCCGCAAGCGAATCGTGTTTTGCACCTCGCGTTCCTGGGCGAAGTTCTGGTGGGATGCGCCAGCTCTACCTTTAGTCCTGGCTGGACACCCGAGGGCTGCGGACATTGGGGGCTGCTCGCAGTTCATCCAGATTATCAGAACTCGAAAGTGGCCACGGCACTTGTCATTGCGGCAGAGCGCCGGTTGGCAACGATTTCAGCTGCTGTCCAGATTGAGTATCAGTACACAGAAGGCGAGGACTTCTCCACGAGGTGCGGGCATTCCATATGATTGATCTGCTTAACTTTAGAGCCTCCTGCTCAGTCCGCCGACATTGTCTCCCTCTTCTCCTTCTTCCTCTCTCCCTTGTCTCCTTTCTCGCGTGTTCTGTCGTCCTCTCTCCCTCCCTCTGCTCCCCATCCTCCCCATCCCCCCAAGCCTCTCTCTCCTCAATCTCCCTGTCTCTGTCTCTCTCTCTACTCGTATCTCTCTATCTCTCTCTCTCTCTCTCTCTCTGTGTCTCTGTCTCTTTCTGTCTCCCCGTCTCCTTCCTGTCCACGCGCCTCTACAGATAAAGGGCCCCTTATTCTAACCCCTCTACTGGAAGACCTAATCTCTCTCTCTCGCTCTTTCTCTTTCTCGCTCAAACTCTCTGTCTCTCTCTCTCTCTCTGTCTTTCTGTGTCTCTCTCTCTCTCTCTGTGTCTCTCTCTCTCTCTCTCTTTGTCTGTCTCTTTCTCTGTCTCTTTGACTCTGGCTCTGTCTCTGTCTCTCTCTCTCTCTCTCTCCACCTCTCTCTCTCTCTCTCCCGCTCTCTCCCTCTCTCTCTCTCTGCATTGCAGCGTCGCTTCCCCCCTGAGTTGCCTCGATGTCCGGGCACTGCCCTTTCATGACCCTGAACTGTCATCTCACTACTGGCTTTCCCCTTGATTTCCCCTTCATGGCCTTTTCACGTTTCCCATGATGTCCTGGTCATGTCCCTTCCATTCCTTTCAACTCCCCCTTCATGTCCCTGTCATTTTCTCGGTATGTCCGCTTCATTTTCCATGCATGTCCGGTTCTTTCGTTGCGAGTCAGTTCCCTACATCTCCCGTCGTGCCGATTGGTTGCCTTGTCCTTTGTTTCCCTTTAATTCCCCCTGCACTCCCCTTGTTTTCACTTCTGTCCCTCTCATGTCCCTTTCAGTTCCCCTTTGTTTCCCTTTCATTTCCCGTTGCTTTCCTGTCATGTCGACTTCCTATTTCCTCCCCTCATTTCCTTGCACTTCCTTGCATTTCCCCTGTGCTCCCGATCATTTCCCGCAAAAAAGCACGCTTTTTCCTGCGTTTTCGCAAAGAGGACGTCCAAAAACACCGAGTTTTTCCAGATTCGGCAAAAGGAGAAAGAGCCGGCAGGGGGGATTCGAGCCTGGGACCCGTTTGGCGACACCGGCTCCCCGAAGACTACATTTGGTGGACGTCGTCAAATTGCCGCGCGGTACGTGGGGGACCCCCCCCTGTACCCTACGTATCAGACGTCGGGCGGGGGGGGGTTAGGGGGGGTTATCCTCTATCCTCTCTTAGGTGTCCGACACGCCGAGCAACGTCGGCGGATATGTTCGTATGCCTGCTTCTTGCCGTGTGTTCAGTTCTTTGTTATTTTGTTTGTCTGTCTGTCTGTCTGACTGACTGACTGTCTGTCTGTCTGTCTGACCGTCTGTCTGTCTGTCTGTCTGTGTGTTTGTTTAGTTTCGTTTGTCCGAAAGATTCTTTGTTATGCTTGTTTGCTTGTTTGTTTGTAGGTTGGTGTGATGGTGTGTGTGTGTATGTGTTTTTGGTACTGTTTTGTTTGTTTGTTTTGCTTGTTATGCTTGTTTGCTTGTTTGTTTGTTTGTTTGTTTGCTTGTTTGTTTGCTTGTTTGTTTGTTTGTGTGTGTGTGTGTTTGGTATTTCATAATGTATGCCCAGTGGGGGGGGAATGTATGTAATACATTTTCCACGTTTGCCGCCCCAAGAGTCTTAAGCGCTTTGCCAAGGCTGAGAACCTAAGAAAGCGATATACAGTCACAGCCTTATGGAAGGTAGGCACAATTGTAGGTAGACAGGAGCAAATGGCTGCAAATGGACCTGGAACGGTCCGCAAGTTTACGGCTCAGTGTTGGAATGCTTTCAAATTAGGTGTTGCGCAATTCTAGAGGCCCATGTGCCACAATCCGCAGCACGCATTCCGGCAGCAGCCCAAGAACGGGCTTTGCCAAAAACATGTCCTAGAACTCGTACGAAGTGTTGAAGTGGGCATGTAGCTGAGCAAGCTTGTCAAGTGCTGTCACTTGCTCCATCTTGTGCTGCCAGGGCTTGATGGAGGCGCTGCCGATTCCTTGATTGTGAGACTCTTCTGCTGCTCAACAGGCGCTGATCTTTGCGCGGACCACGTGGACAAAGCCCAGGGACATATCCGCCAACTTTGTCAAGGTTGCTTCAAGTGGCTGGCCCTGGCCTACTTCAACACCCACTACAATTGTCTCTCCAATTAGGCCCCCCCCCCCCACCGGCGTTCAACAGCTCTAGCTCCTGCATCGCACACGTGTAAAGGCACGCGCCTCCGATATTTGAAAGTGTGATGGGGGTCAAACTTCCAGCTCGCTTCGAAGTCAACACTGGGATTGCTTCGGGGGAAGCGCCGCGCTTGTCAGTCTTGCTGACGCCACCGTCTTCTGGGGTATCGTGTCGCTCACCTCGGTCTCTTCTTTGAGAAGTAAGTGCCAAGAAGTCAGCAGTACAGACGCGGACCCTATCTACTTGCTAAGTGGTTTACGACCGCCGCTCGTATAGGGCTTGCTGCATTTTGCTTTGAGTAGGGCCGCCCTGAAGACAAAGTACGTGTTTTAACTGCTTTCAAGTGACGCTGAATCAACGCCGGATATGAGCCCTAGGAAGCATTCGTTCCAAAGAGTAGTGGTGTTTAGTTTCCTAGCTCAAGCAAGCGCATCGTCGCAGCGCCATGCTGAAGGGCACGAGCTTTGCGCCGTAAGCGAGGCGCAACAGAACTCAGCTGGGCCCCTGTGATCACTTCCTGCTCCGGCCAAGGTTCAAGTCGATCCACACCACCCCGTGGCGATCGTGGGTTCTGAGATACATGGAGCCCTCACTAAGCATGCAAAATCCTGGCAAACAAGCTGGTTTACCCAGAGCAATCGGAGCAATGCGTTGCTATCCACTACGTCAGACCGATAGCCGCAGGCTTTCGAAAATTCCAGCAGGGGAGTGTTGATGCGCAAGCCTGTGTGGGAGAGAGCTAGCTGATTGATCAAGGGACTGTGCCGCCCAGCAGTCCCAGCGTTTCCACATCATTGGAAGCGGGGCCGGGCTGCGATTTAGATACATTCGTTGCAAAGAAGGCCGCCGGCATCGCGAGGAACTAGCTGAAATGGAAGGGCGACGAGTGTCGGATTCGTTGCTGTCGAAATCACAGAGGTGTGAGAACATCGAACCGGGGCAGGGGTGCCTCTAAATATTTGAGCAGAGCAACCAGATAGCAAGCAGCGCTCCTTAGCGTATGCACTCAGTGTGCTCCAGGGATTCGCGATGCTGTTGATGCCAGTGTGTGGATCGAGCCCGCGCGACAAATTTGCTAATTCGTCAGAGCGAAAATCAGCTAGACTTCATTGCTGGGAATGCGAATTAGCTAATTCGACAGAGCGAATATCATCTAGACTTCATGCTGGTAATGCTGGCGATGCCGGTGATGCACTCCGTAGATCAAGGCGACGGGTGTCCGTGCGACGAATTTGCTAATTCGTCAGTGCGAAAATCAGCTAGACTTCATTGCTGGTAATGCGAATTAGCTTTACTTCGCCAGAGCGAATCTCAGCTACACTTTATTGCTCATAATGCTGGCGATGCCGGTGATGCACTCCGTAGATCGAGGCGACGGGTGTCGCGCGACGAATAAATAAGCTAAATCGTCAGAGCGAAAATCAGCTAGACGTCATTGCTGGTAATGCTGGCGATGCCGGTGACGCACTCCGTAGATGAAGGCGACAGGTGTCCGTGCGACGAATTAGCTAATTCGTCAGAGCGAGAATCAGCTAGACGTCATTGCTGGTGATGCTGGCGATGCCAGTGATGCCAGTGATGCCGTCTGTAGATCGAGATGACGGGCGTCCGTGCGACGAATTGAGTAATTCGACAAAGCGAATACGCTGCCTGGTGTAGGTATCATACGCTGCCACTGCGCCGCTCCCACGAGTCCTGGAAACGCCTTGGCTAGTTCCCAGCCCCAAGCGTTTTCAGGGGTCACTTGTTCTTACGCCCGGCGGGCATAAGAACAAGTGGGGGCCAACCGGAACAAGCGACCTGGTCACTTGTTCGCTACAGTGCCTACTTGTTCTTAAGCCCGCCGGGCATAAGAACAAGTGACCCCTGACGCAACAATGGCTTTAGCCGCGAAAAACGGCAGCCACTGACAAGACACAAATTAGAAACTCTATTGCAGAACGCCCAAATCACAAAAAATGCAGCCCGACCAAGCAAGCCAGTGACAGGCCCAGGAAAAACTGTACAACAAATTGACACCCACACACAACAACCGAATTAGAAGCCCTAGTTAAAAAGCCAACTTCACGAGAATCATCAGCCAGACCAGCAGGCCAGCGCCAGGCCTTGAAAAAATCCAGCCGCACAAAACACACGGCGAACAAAATAGAATCTTTACATAAAAGCCAACTTCACGAAAATCATCAGTCCGACAAGTAAGGCCAGTGACAGGCCCTGACAAAAATCCAGCTACGCAAAAAAAAAGGCGGCAACCCTACACAAAAAACTAAAATTAGAAGCTCTGCTAAAAACTCCCACTTCACGAGAATCATCAGCCAGACAAGTAGGCAGGCCCTGAAAACAATCCAGCTGCCCAAAATAAACGGTGAACAAATTCAAAACAGTCGCTCTACCTAAAAAAATAAGGTCAGGTGACATCCCCTCATTGGACCCTGGTGGAACCCTGGTGGAACGCTCGTGGAACCTCACCTCAGGGCCGTCCGGGACTATCTGGGCTGAGACCCCAAAGCTTTCAGCTGTTGGAGAAAACACCAACTTCACGAAAATCATCAGCCCAACAAGTAGGCCAGTGACACAGCTGGACAAAGAAAGGCGGTAACGCAGACAACATGCAAATTAGAAGTGCTAATCAAAACATCCTGCTTCAGGAAAAAGTCGGCTGGCGGGGTCGGGGCCCGACTGCTGGCGTGGTCGGGGCCCGACTGCTGACGGGGTCGGGGCCCGACAGCACGCACAGTTTCCTTTGCGACCGGGCGCTGAAGTGTAACCTACACAGGTGGCTACAAAGGACATCAAAAAACAAGACACGTTTCAATCATGTTCCTTTGTCTCCTGCTCCCGTGCTCTTCTGGTCTCTTGTTTTTTTGCAAGTGGGATGTCTTCGCCGGGCTTCTGGTTTGTTGTGTGGCTGCCGCCCTTTTTTGCGCAGCTTGATTTTTTTACAGGGCTGTTACTGGGCTGCTTGGTCGGGCTGCTGCTTTTCGTCAAGGTAGAGCTTCTAATTCGCTTGTGTGTGGCTGCCTTTCTTTTGTGCAGATTGATGTTGTTCAGGGCCTGTGGTCGGGCCCCAACTCCGTCGGCGGTCGGGCCCCGACCCCGTCGGCGGTCGGGCCCCGACCCCGCCGGCGGTCGGGCCCCGACCGCGTCGCCGGTCGGGCCCCGACCCCGTCGCCGGTCGGGCCCCGACCCTGCCGGCGGTCGGGCCCCGACCCCGTCGCCGGTCGGGCCATGACCCCCTCGGCGGTCGCCCCTTCAATGGTTCTAATTTGCTTGTTGTTTGTAGCTGCTGCCGTGTTTTTGCAGCTAGCTTTTGTTTAGGGCCTGTCACTGGCCCGGGCTGATGCTTTTCGTAGAATGTGATGCTTTTAGTAGGGCTTCCAATTTGCTTGTTGTGTGTGGCTGCCTTTTTTTCGAAGTTGTTTTTCAGGGCCTGCTAGTTGTTTGCTTGGCCGGGGCTGCTGCTGCTCTTCGTCAAGTGGGATGTTTTTAGTGGGGCTTCTGGATTTTTTGTGCGCGGCTTGTTTTCAGGTCCTGTCACTGGTCTGCTTGTTCGGGCAGCTGTTTCTTGTCAACTGTTTGTTGGCAAGTAGAGCCTCTAATTTGTTTGTTGTGTGTCGCTGCGCTTTGTGTTTTTGCAGTTTGATTTTTGTTTCGGGCTTGTCACTAACCCACTTGATTGTTTGTTGATTGCTTTAAAAAATGATTTTTTGCGTAGGGCGTCTAATTTGCTTGTTGTGTGTGGCTGCCGTTTTGTTGCGCTAGCTGTGTTTTTTTTCAGGCCCTAGCGCTGGCCGACTGGGTCGGCCTGCTGCTTTTCGTGAAGTGAGATCTTGTTTGTAGGGCTTGTCATTTTTCTTTTTGTGTGTGGCCCCCGTTTTTTTTGCGAAGCTTGTTTCTTTCAGGGCCTACTTGTCGGGCTGATCACTTGCGTGAAGTGGGACGTCTTTCAGGAGGGCTCCCAATTTGCTTGTTGTGTGTGGGCGCCGTTTCTTTTTGCGCAGCTGGAGTTTTTCAGGGTCTGCCATGGGTCTGCTTGGCTTTGGTCTCTTGCTGATGTTTGGGGCAAAACCCAGCAACAGCGGATTTTTATGTATATTGGGGGGGTGCGGTAGGATTGTGGTCGCAGCTTAAATGTATATGTGGGGGTCCCCCCTCCCCCCTACATAGGGGTCTCTCGTCTTAGGTGTCCGACACGCCGAGCAACGTCGGCGGATATGTTCGTATGCCTGTTTCTTGCCGTGTGTTCAGTTCTTTGTCATTTTGTTTGTCTGTCTGTCTGACTGACTGACTGTCTGTCTGTCTGTCTGACCGTCTGTCTGTCTGTCTGTCTGTGTGTTTGTTTAGTTTCGTTTGTCCGAAAGATTCTTTGTTATGCTTGTTTGTTTGTTTGTAGGTTGGTGTGATGGTGTGTGTGTGTGTATGTGTTGTTGGTACTGTTTTGTTTGTTTGTTATGCTTGTTATGCTTGTTTGCTTGTTTGCTTGTTTGTTTGTTTGTTTGTTTGCTTGTTTGTTTGCTTGTTTGTTTGTTTGTTTGCTTGTGTGTGTGTGTGTTTGGTATTTCGACGGTTTGCGTGCTGGTTTGCTGGTTTGCTGGTTGGTTGGCTGGCTGGCTGGCTGGCTGGCTGGTTGGTTGGTTGGTTGTGCTCAGGTGTTTTTTTGTCGTTGTTGTTGTTGCTGCCAATCGGTCAGGCTGCGCGAGTGGTATGAGGGAAAGCTTGGCTTTACCGGAGATAGCCACCCTCTGAAGCCTGGGCAGACGGTCTTCCGCCGTTGCCGAAAGCGTAGCTTTGCAGATTTTGAGCCTCACCAAGGTTCAACACTTACATCATGGGTACATCATACACATCCAAGGCATCCCGAAGATGGAGCAGGAGAAAGGCCATTACCGTCGCTTGCAGGTCGGGATAGCCGTAGCCGTGCCAGTGCATCAGTTGTATCACATACTTTATCAAATGCTTGGCAGCCCATCAGGAGATAGAGACGTGGCTTGAGACTCAAATTGCAGCCCTGGAGCCGGAGGAGAGCAGCGAGTCAGAGGAGACGTCTGAGGCCGCCATGTATCTTCGGTCTCATCTACACGTTGGCCAATTCCTAAGGGAAGCCTGGGGAAACTTGCAGGGTCAGGCCAAATAGTACTCACATTGGGGTTATTTAGGTATCCCCCAGAGTTTCCCTTGAGGGTGTGTGGTCTAGATGGGTGCAAATTAACTCTTAGACTATCGTATGAGACATGGCACTTGCACTCTCGCCCCTGGGAGGCAAGTGCAATGCACACAGGCGCACCCTTGCATGATTCAGGGTTGCGGCCAGCATGTGTCCAAACCCATTGAAGCTGACAGGCGAGCAGTCTGCTGGCGGCTATCCAGTCAGAGCAGCTTAGGGTTTCACTTTGATACAATACGCTTTTTCACAAAGTGCACTTTCCTCGTCGCAGCATCTGCTGCGGCATGATGCGGCAAGCTTCGCCCTGACACTGTCACTTGCTTTGGTGGGATATGATGTTGGGCAGAAGCTATACCTTGCGTAGCCAAGACAAGGTGCACTTTGGGAGTTTCGCTATGTACACATGCATGAGCCATCATGCCACATTTTCACAAGGCAAGCCACGCGGCCAGCCCTTGTCACATCCTGTGCATACACGCCTCGCCTGCATACAAGACTACGATTCCACTGAAATATCGGGCGCTTGCAGCTCTTGCAGCACCTACATCGCTTGGACGTGTTGGTTGGGCAAATTGCACTGTTAGGTGGTGGAGAAGCTTGCGGCCATTGCTTCTGTGCAAGCGAAGACAGAGCAGGTTCCTGACACGGAGGCTCGATGAGTTTCTGTTCCCCATTTCTGCCGTCAGCCTAGTTTGGCAGGACATGGATGAGGAAAACCTGGGCGTCCTGAAGATGCTTGGTGGTGGAGGTGTTCGGCCAAGCCACTTCTCTTCGGAGGGCAGCTGTGCTTCGGACAGGGAGTTATGCGCAAGGCAACTCAGAATCCAGTGGAAACAAATATGGAAACATGGAGTGCAAGAAAGGAACCCGAGTTTGCCTGCAGGACAAAGGCAAGACCCGTGGCATATATGTGAGGCAACTCGTCGTAGTCATTGTTTTGTTAGCTGTACGTATGTCTGGATTGTGTCGCTAGAGATAGGCCAACGCCACTTCTCAACTTTGAGACCAACGGCGTGGATGAAGACACCTTCAATAGCCTGGGCTTCAATGTGCGGTGCTCTTAGACACATGCGTTTTGCGGCTGAATGTGAGATGTCCCTTGAGTGTGTTTCAGTGAGTGATCCGAATGATCAGGTTTGACCTCACTGCCGACCAGCTGAACAAGCTTGCGTTCCACATAATCATTTCCCACAGCTCGGGCTGGGTGCTTGGTCTTTGGAATTCAGGTCAGGCCCAGAAGTTTGCTTGCGATATTCCTGCCTTTCTGCTGGCGAATGAGGTGCAGTTATTTGTCATGATGGGTTTGATGAAGCTTTGATCCAGAACTTTGTGTCAGCCGTGCAGAAGGCGCCCAACAGGGTAAGGGTAACTAAGCCGAGCTGGTATAGCCCACCGCTTTCGCCGGGTGCTGGATAATGCATGGGATAGGGATATGTGACTTTTGCAATAACCAACTCAGATTTCCGTCATTCGATCTGGCCCTTCCGCACAGAGGATGTTGATTGCTTGCTTTTGGACATTTCCGCCCCGGTGATGCGACAAGGGCTACCCGGACAACCCATTTCACAATTTCGGCCATGCTGTTGATGTTCAAGCCGGCATTGTTCAAGCCTCAGCTGCCTGATTGGCTGGCTGTGGCTAAAGCTGGTTGCAACCTAGGTCAAAACAATGAAGCTGATGGAAGCAGAGACATTCTTAAGCCACTTGCCGAAGCTAGGCATCAGGCCACGCTTGCCTGTAAGCAACGCAGCCAGCTGCATGCAAGTTCCAAGGCAATCTGGAGCAGCGGCTGTCTTACAGAGTGAAGATAATGCACACATTGGCAAATGCAGCGCCACCTCCAATCAATGTTGTTCAATGCAATCCCAGCACACAGAATTGAGTGCTCAGGTTCTCTTTACTGGTTGCTGGCTTGGGGCATGACATTGGTCATCCTGGCCTGAACAATGCCTTCTTGTCAGAGGCGTGGGCTACACCAGAGTTGGTGCAGTTCAAGCTGCAGTCAGTGTCACCTAGCCCGCAATTGCAAAGGTGGGTCACGAGCTGGCGATCAAGTATAACGACAGATCACCTTTGGAGAATATGCTTGGGCCCCAAGCCAGATCTGACTGCCTGATGCTGCTAATGCCGCATTACTAATGCCTGATTTGTCACTCGAATACATTGACAATATTGACACACTGATCTTTGCTTTGATAGCCTGGACTGTCACTGCCTGGACGTACGTTGAAAGCCCGTCAAGGCACTGTGCAAACCTCTACCAGCTGTTGGGCAAGCCAGAGACAAAGCTCTTTGCCTCCCTGAGCCCGGAGGATTACAAGGAGGCCAACCGGCTGATTGCAGTGAAGATAGTGAAGCATGAAAGGCAAGGGCGAAAGCAAAACTTTGTTTTTGACATGTACAACACGCAAAAGAGGTGCACAGATAGATGACTCTCTGTTTTTCCCATTGTGTCCGGAGGGACTGTGTGGTAGTTTCCTTCAGCCGAGCTCAGCCGATCACAGCTGAGCACTGGCCATGTCTGGGCCGCGCTTGATCGCTTCAACGCCGGGATGTTGGAGGAAGTCGGGGGCCACCAAAGACTTCGAGTCATGGCCCGGAACAATTGCAGCCAAAGTCAACCAGCCTTACCACATCATTTTGCCACTTTCTGCCTGAGCAGGTGCGCAGAATATGTGTGGAGGTCATCCTTCACACAGATATGATGTGCCTGTCCCCAAGTGGATTGCTCATAAATGTGGGTCAATATGGAAGTTCACATTGCTTCAAGGCCATCAAAGCATGGTGAAAGATTTGAACTTGCTGTACCAGATGAACTCAGAGGCTTGACCCTCAGCTTGGCCTGATGCCGTGGCATGCGGATAAGGTGCTGCGGCCTGGCCTTTCCACACGCGCCACTGTCCGAAAATCTACGGGCGCCTGCCTGAGGGCTTGAGGGCCTGAGGGGCGATACCCAGAGATGCACTTTGTTCTTTGGAAATGCAGGGGAGAGAAGAATTCTGACGATGAAAGAGTCACAGTTGAAGAGCAGTGACGAGTCGTGCGATAATTGCACACATCTGAGAAACTTTGAAAATTGGCATACTCTTGCAGACAATTCCAGAATCTGGGAGGTGTTCATGGTTTGATTTGCCAGTGTGATGCATGACCAAGGGAAGCGCAAAACTACAGTGGATGGCATTATCTCGGAGCCCTCGCAGGTGTTCGGCGCGCCATTCTCTTGGACTTTCTGCGCGCGCACCAGTACATTGCACGTTGCCTCCGATTGACAATACGCGCGACTCAGGCCTGAAAACAAGATGCTCGTGATGGAGACGATCCTCCACTCAGCGGATGTGTCAAGGGCTCGGCTGTCAGCAATTGCGTTAGCCCTTGCGCTCTTCTGGCTTAGCCCTCGAAACGACATTTGTTGGAGATATTTGAGCAAATATGAATGTGCTGCGCCAGGGTAGGGCAACATAATCTTAAAGCAACGTCCTGCAGCTCTAATCAAAGTTGTAATTAAGGGATCATACATTCGCCACAACTTGCATAAAGCGTGGCATGCTCTAAGCATTGTTCTGATCTTGTGTGAAGGGTCGGACCAACTTGCATAGAGTCACTTGCGCAGAGTCAAATACATAGAGCCAAGTGCATGGAGCCAAGTGCATAGAGCCGTGCATAGAGCCAAGTACAAATAGAGCCAAGTGCAAATAGAGCCAAGTGCAAACAGAGCCAAGTGCAAACAGAGCCAAGTGCATAGAGCCGAGTGCACAGAGCCGAGTGCATAGAGCCAAGTGCATAGAGCCAAGTGCGTGGAGCCAGGTGCATAGAGCCGCGCATAGAGCCAAGTGCATAGAGCCAAGTGCATAGAGCCGAGTACACAGAGCCGAGTACACAGAGCCGAGTGCATAGAGCCGAGTGCATAGAGCCAAGTGCATAGAGCCGAGTACACAGAGCCGAGTACACAGAGCCGAGTGCATAGAGCCGAGTGCATAGAGCCAAGCGCGTAGAGCCAAGTGCATAGAGCCAAGCGCGTAGAGCCAGCTATGTAAGTTAAGTTTAGCTTTCTAGGGCGCCGGGGCAGGACTTTGATCGTCGATCGGGTTTGCGACCCTCTGCGGGGATCGGCGTGGTCGAGGTGCAAAAACTCGAGGTTTTTGTGCGATTTCTGATCTGCCCGCGCGACCCTCTGCGGGGATCGGCGTGGTCGAGGTACAAAAACTCCCGGTTTTTTGCGTTTTTGCGGGCGCGGGGATCAGCGTGGTCGAGCTACAAAAACTCGAGGTTTTTGCGATTTCTGATCTGCCCACACGACCCTCCTCTGCGGGGATCGGCGTGGTCGAGGCAAAAACTTGAGGATTGTTGCGATTTCTGATCTGCCTACGCGACCCTCTGCGGGGATCGGCGTGGTCGAGGTGCAAAAACTCGAGGTTTTTTGCGATTTCTGTCTGCCCGCGCGACCGTCTGCGGGGATCGGCGAGGTCAAGGTACAAAAACTTGTTTTTTTGCGATTTCTGATTTGCCCGCGCGACCCTCTGCGGGGATCGGCGTGGTCGAGGCAAAAACTTGAGGATTTTTGCGATTTCTGATCTGCCTACGCGACCCTCTGCGGGGATTGGCGTGGTTGAGGTGCAAAAACTCGAGGTTTTTTTGCGATTTCTGTCTGTTCAGGGGACCGTTTGCAGGGATCGGCGAGGTCGAGGTACAAAAACTCAAGGTTTTTTGCGATTTCTGTCTGCCCGCGACCCTCTGCGGGGATCGGCGTGGTCGAGGTGCAAAAACTCGAGTTTTTTGTGGTGTTTTTGCGGCGCGCGGATGAACCCTCGGCGGGGACCGTGCGAGTCGACGCGCTCTCGCTGTGGCGCCGTGCGATTTTATTACTCGCGAAATGAACAACAACAACAACAACAACAACAACGACAACAGACCCCCGCGCCAACAGCAAAAGGGTTTCGAAGCCTGACCGCAGCGCACGCGAACCAGGAAACAATAAAGACAGACAGATGGAGTTCCGAGGCCCAGGGATCGGAGCGTGACTGCGCAAAGCCACACAAACAAAAAGTGTGTGTAGGCGAAACCTCAAAGACTCGCCCGTTGGGACAGACGCAGACCCCCGCGGGCCAAGCGTGTTTTATGCATGGGACTGCTTTGCACAGATGTCTAGAGTGTACTTGAGAGTACATGAATCTGCAGGCAGATTGGGGGCATGAAGCTGGCTGCGGGCATTTTTTCGGCCCAAGGATTGGGCTAATAAAGCTTTGGAGAAGGCATCCAAAGGAGCCAGCCGGATTTGTTTAGGACGCGAGGAAGGTAGCCATATCGATTGACACACACACACACACCTACGCATGCGCGCAAACATACACACATGCACGCACGCACGCTTGCTCATACACAGACCAGAGAAAATGCTTCGAACTTCCCTACCCCAAACCTTATTTCTCCATCAGGCCCAATCGTGAGTGCTTGCTGTGTGTCTACACTATTTTAACATGATGTGATAGATATACACAACTTCAACCAAGCTTGTTTGATGTACCCATCTTCGGACTAGCTGCCACTTTTCTGAAGCCTAGCACAATTTCTGACATTGCCCGAGGTCAAATCCTGCTCGCGAATGGGCAATTACAAAAGACTGGGCGGACAAATGTTTGATCGAATTCTTCGCGCAGGGCGACCAGGCCGGCTTTGCGTGTGGCACCATTCTCGGAAGTCCGCGCTTGCCAGGAGAAAGAAAGAGGCATCCCCGTACAGTTCCTGAATGACAGAGACAAGTGCGCCCCACACTGCTTGTCGTTGCAGTAATGTTTGCAAAAAAAACTTTTGCCAACAATGTCTTCCGATCTCGTGTCTTGCATTGTCTACTTTGGATCTTTTCGGGTTTCCGCATGTGCTTGTCACGTGAGCAATGCATCTTTTTTTTTGCATGAGTACGCAACAGCGATGTGTCAGGTTAAACCGCCCAAACTCCCAGATTGGCTTTATCGAGCAGCCTGGCAGCAACAGTGCTCAGAGGTCCTGTTTGGGGCAGAAGTGATTCCTGCAGTGGATGCATGCTTTTGCAAAAAGTCAACCCGCGAAATGCAGCTCAGTGAGTGAACCGTGCAGCCTTCAAATCCTGACCGAACCACGTTTCGAGCGCTCCGAAGAGCTGCATTTGCAATTGTCTCCAATTATGAATGAGGGCTCATGAATACCAAAGGCTACACCAAGGGGGCTTTGTTTCTGAACCATGCGAAAAAAGCAAGCAACAACTCGAGAAAACAAAATCACAGACAAACAAAGATGCAGACCCCAACACCCTCACATGAGACCTGAGACCTGCGGTCTGCATCTTTGGTTTGTTTGGGTTCTCGAGTTGTTTGTTTTCCCCAAAAAATATCGAGAAAACCAAAGAACAAGGCAAGAAAGAAACAAAAATGCAGACTTGAGTTCTACCTTTTATATTGGTCAAGTTAGAATTGAGTTCTAGTTACAACTAGTCAGAATTGAAAAAGGAAAGACTACAAGCATATGTTATAAAAAGGATTAACTTAAACAATGATTATTCGATTTCAAATCCATTGGTTCGCTGGGTTTCCTTTCCATCATAATTTGCTTTACAATTCAGTACACAATTAAGCACACTCTATTCAACAAATGTAGGACCTCTGAGTTATTTCAATTGAAATCAGGAGGATAAGAAAGAACTCAAACAGATTTGAATAAGGAAAAACTACAAACTGATGTAGTCTTATTTTAAACTAGAATGTAAATGATGTTTGTTCGATATCAACTCAATTGGTTCACTGGACTCCTTTCCAATGGAATGTTCTTTGCAAATCGGGAAACGTTTAAACACACCGTATTTGACAAATTTAGGACATCTGAGTTATTTCCTTATGACACTTACTTGACTAATTGCTAATTGAAATTAAGAAGGATTTACTAAGGAAACAATCCATCCAATCAGAGGAAACCATCTCTAGCTTACTGTACCAGGGCTTGATGATCAGTATCTTTGAGAACTCCCAAATTTGAATGCATTGACTCGAGCAAGTGGCTTTCAACACTCTTTTCAATGTAAGACACTGATTATATGCTGGCCTTATTCAATTATGGTTGCTTAGTCTGTACACAACGCTCATGAGGGAGATCAATGCTTTGCCGGCACTCCAGCCTATAGTAACAGCGAAGATGAACAGAAAGTGTGTTTGATCAAAATACCTGCAAACACAGCCCCGACGGCGTACGGCTCTCCATAGATAAGGATCCAAATTGTCAAGTTTGCCCTCATACATTGCTCGTTGTTGCTCTTTGCCGTGTGTTTTGTGTTAGGTTGTTTTGACGCGCCAGTCTTTTTTTCACCCACAGGACAGGTAGTGCCTCAATCAATGATATCTATTCTCCCACAACGAGTGTAGGACAGAACGCCATATTCACACATCAATTGGTCAAACATGAATCAAAGTATTACAATGATACGTTGTATTCATTTGTGACATATTCAACATGGGGGAGGTTACCCTCCCACCAATTAACATGGAACCTGACAGGGGCGGGGTCCTGGAAGACAATTTTCCTGTTAAAGGGACCCCCCTGTCAGGTTCCATGCTAATTGGCGGGAGGGTAGTAGGTAGAGGGACTTTTACGCTGTCACGCTCGAGAATTCCAGCAGTTTGTTGTTGATCAGATCTTTGATGAGAATCATTTTGTGAATGAATCAGCTAGTCTCTGTTGGTAAGCACAATTCTCGCGGTATCAGTGTGTATAGTATTACTTATCCTCGAACTCCCCCCCACATTCCACATTTGAAACCATATGTTGCAGTCAACTACATCATGATATTGCAAACCATCCACAGCAAAGACAAAAAAAGGGGTCAACAACATAGTATTTGGCTTCAACCACAGTTATCTTTGATGCTATTGAATGAGCATAGTCAACTTTAATGTTTTCTGAGCATGGGGTGAGCTGGACATCAAACTATTTAAATCCCGATGGGAGTATATATCTAACATCAGCATTGTTTCACTTGAATGATAATTGCATTGAACCTCTATCTTTAGCAACTTGTCAAATCGCTCCAGAGCCAGAGACTAATTCTCGTAGATTCAGGAGGAAATTGGAAAGTACCGCAGGACAGAGAACACTTTGATTGCAGTAGAACACTGATTGGCAGACTACAGGGTATAAATTGTTTATTGAGCAAGAATAGCGCTGGGAGCATGATCCTTCCTCACGCCTGAAGCTGGCACTCAGACAGACAACTTTGGCAGGGCTTCGGGATTGAGGTGGAGTGCACGGCGGGAAAGACATGAGTGCAAATATCAGGTTCATGATCGCTCCTTTCTTCGCGGCGCAGATTTGGCAAGCTTCCCAGACTTCCTGCTTTTGCGTCATCCTCAAAGCGTTTGTGCTGCGAACAGCCCGGCAGGCTGTGGCCGCTGCTGTTTGAGTATGGTGATTGCCTCTCAGCCAACATTGGCATGTGGGAGGACGCTGCTGCATGAAGTGCCTTCAAGGCCAAAAAAGCTGCAGTCAGCGTGGTACACACACACACACACTTAGCCAGCTTGCCTTGCACATGGGCTGTGCAAGCAGGAACTTTGGGAAGAAGAGACTTCCCCCTCGGAGGAGGACTTGGACAAGGCGCTTTCGATATGGTTCGGCTTGGATCTACAGTCAGCACGCCCAAAGCAAATTTCCTGGGGGCTCTGAAAGACAATATTATGTTCTCAGAGAGGAACACGTGCAAAAAGTTGCACCCACGACCTAATCCTGATCACGGACTTGGCCTAAGCGGAGCGCGGTGAGTCGTTTCATCTCGGGTCCAAACATATTGATTTCTGCACGTCATCCGCAAGCCTGCAGACGAACGTGCACAAGCATTGACACTCACAGAGACAGAGCTTGGTTTTTCAAGCCGCATCACCAATCAATCAAACACACCACACTGATGCCATGCTAGAAGCTTTATCAAAACGCACACACGCTGTGAAAAGCTCCCGTCGGGAGTACAGACTCTATGGAGTTCTACGGTCAAAAACCGGCGCGGGCCAAACAAAGCTCCACGAGCACAGCGGGGACCTTTCTGAAAACATTGGAAGGTGAGCTTTGTCACATGGGACTGCTTGAACTCCAAAATGCGACACCAGTGTCCAAGCCCGGAGCGGATTCAACGCCGGGACAAAAGTTCGAGTCGGATGCTATGAAGAACTGTACGTCATCGTAATATCTGCGAGAAGCGTACAACTGTACCAACGAAGTGTCTCTTGCTCACAGAATATTTGGCCGTGTTTGACATGCGGGACATGACTCAGCCTACTTGTGAGACACGGTCCTGCAGAACAGCAGTCCGCAAGGATGGGACGATTGTCTACACATCTTGCAATGAACAGATATGGGCGGGGAAGAGCCAAACAAATATCCATTGTCATCCATTCCGTGAAGCCCGCTCCTAAACGGATACCGTTGGAGCACTTGGTTCGCTGTCGCCGATTGCTGAAAAGCTCCAGCGTTGGACAAATAGAGGCTTGTAGTGAAAGCCGGCAAAATGGCACCGCAAGCAACAGCCTCCCTTCCTGACAGGCAGCCTTTGGCGCCTCAATGTCCACCTCTGATTAATACATAGCGCCGTTTGCCCTCAAATAAAAAGGGGGGGGGGGGGGAAATTGGGCCAATTCTGAAAGTATTGGGCATTTTCTATTGGGGAGGGATTCTTGGTTTAAAATTCTAGTTTAGCCGAATTTAGGATTGGGCATTTGTTTGGCGGAGGGTGTTTTGTGTTGAATTTCTAGTTTAGTCAAAATTAGTATTGGGCATTTTTTGGGGGCAGGGATTTTTGAGTTGGAATTATGTTTAGTATTTGGTTAAGTCTGAATTTATATTGGGCATATTTTTGGAGAATCGGGGGATGTTTGTTTTGGAATTCTAGTTTAGTATAGGGGTCAATGCTAAACTAGTATTGAGCATATGTTTAACGTTTAAACACATGTTTGAGGGGAATGCTAATTTAGTATTGGGCGAATACTAAATTAGTATTGGGCGAATACTAAATTAGTATTGGGCCAAGACCGTTTGCATGAATAAAGATAAACGGATCAGATATGGTATGTCAGAAGGAATCAGCATAGCTTTATTTACGGCCTGGCGTTGATTTGGCGCATGAGGCTTCATGGTGGGTAGTCTTGCCAGGGTCAAGGGCTGACTTTTGATGGATTCTAAAATAAAGAGTTTCATGAAGGAGGTGGCCCAAGAATTTGAGGACCTGCAGGGAGCTTATGATGAGCCAACGTGAATTCAAGGGAGTTCATCAAATATTGTGTGTGTGTGTGTGCTGAGGAATGTGAAATTCCCATGGGGGCAGCTGTGATAGTTTTCAAAGGCTTTCATGTTTAATTTGTTTGTGTTGTTGTTGTTTTTTGGGGGGGAGAACATGTTTTTAGATGTATTGAAGGGTAGTTTATTTTCAGTCAGTTTGGGGAAGGCGTAGATGTATTTAAGTGCAGTTTGCTACTCGGAGGTGGACATTGCCTTTCGCACAAGTTGACTGTAAGAGCTGACTGATGCCAGTTGTGACGTGAGCATGTCTCTGCACGGCTTGCTCCACAACTGCTCGCGGGTATGGATGCGAAGAAGCAAGTTTGCATCGGCAGGTAGCACAGCGAAAATTATGTGAATGCGCTGAAAAATGTCTGGAAAGCTGTCAAATCCAAAAGTCCGTGGAACAAAGGCGCGGCCGACAACGCTTGAAGTGGCTGCCAGAAGATATACCACTTGTTGGAGATGATTGGCCGACAGCCCAGATACAGCTTTTTCCCCAGCGGAACTCCTGCCACACCGTTTGCAATGTCAGGAATCTTGGGCGGCCTCTCTGAACCTGTGCTGTTTGCTAGTAGAAGCGTGCGCACACGCATGAAAAGCAGCTACCTAACGAAGCTCGCAGCAGACCCTGCCATCAACCCATGCGCATGCAACCCGCCTGAATCGCACGATCAGCCGGAGCTGATTTGACCGCACTTAATGCAGGAAATCTGACAGAATACTCGACTTGACTAGCAAGTCTGGATATATTCTGTCAGAGGATTAAGCAAGTTCAAATGGCACCTGGCTTGCAGGATAGACTGAGCATGATTTGGTTGGTGTTGGGTGCAGGTACGATCCCGAGTAGCTCAAGTACAAGAGATGCTCTCGTGTGCGGCTATGCGGATTGCAAGTTGATCTTCAAGTTGCCTGTGTCAGCACCGTGTCACTAATGTTAACGACGCCTGGGGCAGACTGTTTGTGTTTGTGGACTTATTGCCTGTTGCGCGGATGCCCATCCAATCGACCGATGGTCCTTGATAGAGACATCGTGTTGACATTAATTTGCAGGGGCATCAAGCAGCAAGCGTGTAGCAGGGGTCGGCGCGTCCAAAGTGACAGCCACAAAATGTGGCATAGTCGCCGGTTGCTCTTGTTTGTTCTGGTATTGCATCGCCTCAGCGAACTATTGTCATGAGAAAGCCCTGCTGCATTGGCATGTATTTGGGCTGTTGTTGAACCGTGCTGCAACATGCAGGTCCAGTGCTGGCGTGATCTGACTCAAGGACACAAGGATGATTCTTACAGCTCTTGGCAGCCAACGCTACTATTTGCTGCTTTTTGCTTTGGTATTCCGGTTTCGTTCGGGAACAGGAATGGCCTTCAATAGCATCCACTATCATCCAATAGCACCTACAATATGTCCGCGCAAAGCAATAGTGACACCTTTGCTTACGTCTTCAGCAAGCACGAGCAAAGACCGCCACTAGTGCTCTTGTCTTGGGGTCGAAATGCCATGCTTCAGCCTTCGCAGCAGCTTCAGCATGAACGTCATGCCAAGGCCTGGATGTTTAGAATGAAACGCAGCAAGGCTGGAGGTTGAAGGGGCGAAACCTTTTTCCCACGTCCCGCTTTGCTGACAGGTGGTGGAGCTGCTGCAGGCCCACTGATGTATTGCATTCCTTTTCATAGAGTCCTGAGGCAGTGCTGGAGAGTGTGAGAAGATGACCCTTGAGCAGCGACACCACTTGTCTTGCGTGATAACTTACGTGTCTCGTTCCAGGCGGCAACATCTGAGCGGGATGTCACCCAGCGCGTGAAGCTTCTCCTGCAGTCGCAAGATGTGCTGCTAAAGGTGCGGCTTTGAGTCACACATGGCGCTTGTATCGCCAATATTGCTCCTTCAGGCCGACACTGCTCCGGAGACCGTAGCAACATGCCAGCTGACTCAGTGCCAGATCAAGCTGTAGGTCTCCACAGCATGCAGGGCACAGACCGGTAGCAACGACAAGTCTCGCTCGTGTTATTGGAGCAAACAACCATCATGCAGCTTGGTCCCTCACGCCAGTATGGCCAGCCTTGAATCAAGGCCTAGAATTCTTCTTGAATCTTCAAGCTGATCCAACGGTGCCTATCCGGCGATTTGCCGCTCACTTTTTGGAGAGACTGCTGCTCTGCAAGTTAGCGCCTGAGATGTGCGGGATTTGCATGCTTCTGATTCTTTTCTGATACTGATTTGTTCAGCCATTCGGTGACTCGCAGGCCCAGTCTCTCTTTGCGCTGCTCCGTGGCCATAGCTGCACTTCTTGCGGACACTGATATCCTTGTTCGAAGCCCAGTTCTTGAATTATTGGTCAAATGCAGCTGAAACTTAATATGGTGTGCAAGTCACCAAGTTGCTCAGGTCCAGAATCTAGCTCTGAAAGCTGCGACTGTTCATCATGGGAGGGCTTTACATGCCTTGTGCAAGGAGAACTAGTCACCGTAACGGAGCCAGCATATGCCGCATACCTTGGTGATGCAGGAGCAAGATGCTTCCGAGTGCCAGCGTTTGGCTGAACAGCTGCGGCGCTTGCAGGAGAAGGCAAGCAGCTAAGCAGGGCAGAGCGTGGCATAGATGACTCTCTGAGTGTGGCAGAATCGAAGTTCCATGCGTCACTAGCTTAAGCCGCAAGGCTCGCATCCTGCTGTACTCAGACGATTCAATTCTCGTGGCAACGGCTACCCGCTGGGCACAGGTTGTTATCGTATCACAAACTGCATCGCCGGTGTTGCTTCATGCACGAGTACCTGCTAAGTTGCGGGGTGTGAGCTGTATTCAAGATCTACCATTACAAAATTTACAAAACAGACTTGGAGCGGCAGCTGTGACATTAGATCCAACATCTCTTCAACAACAAGCAGAGCAGTTCTTCGAGCTTCTTTTGCAGCTGTTGCAGCAGGCAATCACGGGGTTCGATGCGGGAAAGGCGAAGATCCCTCCTCTCCTTTCTGCGGTGGGTTCCGTGGCACGTCAACGTCCAGCCATGTTGGCTTCTGCCTTTGACATCTTCAAGAAGATCCTACAGCAAAGAGACGCTCTGGGGGATGGATGGGAGGAGGTGCGGCAGCTGGTGACAGACGAGGTGCAGCTGTTGCTTGCCTCTGGCCTAACCTCAGAATGGCACCCCGAGCTGACGGAGCTGTTGGTATCCTCGCTGCCGCGCAAGGGCTCTTTGGAGGACTTGGCTACACAAGCCAAGTACAAACAGATTTGTGCAGCGGCAGATCGAGAGGGTGACGGACCTTTGGCGCGGGCCAAGAAACGTGCTCGGAAGGCAGATCCAAAACATGTAGGGAGCTTACTATCTTCGCGTGTAGCCACATAGCCTTGCACAAACCCTGCCACATTATCATGTGAACGTCTCTTGACCGAGGTGTGGACATCTCAGCACTGTGGTGAAGGGCTATCATCAGAAGATGCCGTGTTAGATGCAGATGCCATCTTGTCTCGGGAGTCTGAGACAACCTGTAGAAGGTTCGAAGATTACTTCGGTTTGCCCAGTCAGTGGGAACCAGCTGGGCATGTGCCGGGACCTGCATTGCTTGCGACTCGAATCAGCAGCCAGGCTGGGACTCAACCATCAAGCCGGGCTGGGCAAATTTGAGCGTAATGTAAATTGGGTTTGTTCACGTCTTCCGCCCAGTTCATCCTTAAGGTCCTGGTTGAGCTCATGGACAGCTGGCCAACCAATGTTCTTCTTTGCTTCAAAATCAGCCATTTGGAGCATGTGCAGGCTGAGCTTGCACGCATAGCTTTGACATCATTGAGCTCCTTGTCTGTGCAGCGCAGCTTGCATCGCGATCGAGCACATGAATCGGCAGTGGCTTTCTCTGACGTCGGCCACACCAATGGAACGAAAGAGCCAGAAGCACTTGAGCAGCTTACCTTCCTGACAGAGGGCAAGAAGGTCACCCCGGCGCCTTCGCTGCCTGAAGAGACAGCACGAGATCCTAGGGCAGCGCTGGAGGCTATTCCACAGCCCAGCCTTGATGACGAGCTGCTCCTACCGGTAGAGATTAGCAAGCTTCAACTTCCCCAGGAGCTTCGAGCCAAAGATGCCGGGCTCTCAGATTTGACCACAATTTGCAAGACTGATGAAGCCATAGCCAGAACTCGCAAAGGCCCTACAGCTCAAATTGTTCGAGGAGGTCTTAGAGAGCTGGCGAAGACGCCCATCCTAACAATGGGTCCGTCGGATTTGGTCGGCTTGCTAAATGCGGTTGACATGTGTGATTGCCAACGCCCTGGCTGAATTGCGCGCCTCTCCTGCAGGAATGGACACCTCGCTATTGAAGCACAGCCTGTTACCTTCTCAATTAGCATCGTACGAGCAGATGAGCCGGCAGGCTTGGCAGCGTCACTGCTTCCCACTCGTATGGCCCATGTTTGGCATCCATGCAGGTGGCACTTCATTTGGCTGCAGGGTCCAGGACATCTCGACATCAAGTATCTCTGCACAAATTCCCTCATTTGCTAGGACTGCAGCACATCCTGAATTACAGCGATCTATGTTTGGGGCTGAGTCGGTGTGGGCCCAAGCCATGTACTGAGAGCCAGGTGTCAAGCGTACGTCCTGCGGACCTTCGATTCATTGAAGGCAATGCGGTCTGCCTTTGAAGCTTGCTAGTCTAATGCTTGCAACAGGCCTTGCTGCAGGCTGGCAACAAGGCGCTTTGGGCAGACACGCTTTGAGCAAATCAGCTTGCACACCACTTTTGCAAAAAGACGCACCGTTATTTGCAAGAGCGCGGACCTCCGCTGCGGCTAGGGAGTTGACAACAAACCCTGCACCTTCCCCCAGATGGCTTCACTTCCGTTTGCTTTCGGATTCTCGGCTTCAGTTCGCTTTTGTTTGGCGGTCTTATCTCAACCGAGCAAGGGAGGGCCACCTTTGTGAAACGGGTCCGCACACAGGATGGCTGGCACACTGGATTCCCTTTGCAGCCCTTTGCACCCGTCTTCCCAACAACACATATATTTACCACGTGGCTCTGCACTCTGAATCGCGTCCTTGCGAAGCCGATTCCCTGTCGGGATAGGCCACGAGTGCTATGGAGCAATTGGTGGAGCTCTTCTATGCCAAGTTTGCAACGGATGTTGCCCGCCAGGTCAGCGTCATGTCCTTACCCCGAGCTTGATGCTTTGGAGATGTGCAGGAGTTGCCGGGATCTGTTGCCCTCCACGAACTCTTGGAGGCACCTGAGCGGCAGCACTGCGGTGGCCATTGATGCGACCTGGAAGGGAACAGCATCTTCGCGGCGCCTGACAGCTTCAAACTTCACTTATGCGGAGCCCCGGATGCCAATTCCAGCTTTGGCCTTGCGTTGCAATTTGTGCGGTCTTTTCCGACTTCAAAGCATCCAGGAGCTCTTCGATATGTGCTTGGCTGAGTTCGAGAAACGCGACATACCTAGGCTGGCTCAAGTCAGAACTGGACGTGTTTGAATATTCCTGATGTCATTCCTGCCCATTGACCGGTTGTACCATTGGTCCATCCCATTGTTTGAGCAGAGCTGCGAGGCGGGAGCTACGAGGCTTCTTGGGCGACCTCCCCGCCATTCCTTCGTCGGCATTTCGGGCACTTGAGGCACAGTGCCAACTGGCTGGAGTTTGCACCTTAGTGTAGATGGTGTAGCCACCACGCTCTCACGATCATGTCATTTCACGCCATGAATATCCACGTGCCTGAGGCAAGAAAGATGGCACTACTGACAATCCTCGCGTTGATCGAAGGCGCTTTGTCAGCTAGAATGAAGTCGGCAAGCATGGGCCAACAGGCAAACCTGCTTGCCGCTGGCGGGGCTTGAGCCTTCTTTTCAAGCTAGCCTTCTCTGCCGGCGAGGAACCGTTGTTGTTGGCAAGTTGCCGAGCAATGCACACTATGATCCATGGATGACAGCGCATTTGCTTTGCACGCATGCTACATCACGGCATGCGCTTAGGTGTTGGCCAAGAGGTACGATTCCTTGCTTGACGCAAATGTGGCATTGCCAGGACAGCGTGCGCTTCGACACAATCCGTTTGATCATCAACAAGATTTATGCTGGCCCAAAAAAACCTATGCGTTGTGAGCTCAGTGTCAAGCTGGACTAATTGGGGGGGAGGGGGGGGGTATTTGGATGTGCTAAGGATGGCAATTACCTCATCTCTCCGACGCGGAAGCCGTTGAAGAGGTTCGGGTAGACAAGGCATTTGCGGACCAATGGGGGCCTACGCCAAGGACGGAACAAGCTGGGATCTGCCAGACCCAGACTTCCTTCCACTTCAAAGGCAGAAGTTAGAAGCTTTGAGCACCAATTCAAATGTGCTTGCTGCCATGGAATGGAGGCTTCGCGGCCGGTGCGTCGAAGACATGGCGACAATCATGCTTCGTGCGAGCCCTGTGCCGTCAACATGCCGTCCTTCACTAAACGAGGTCAACATTCTCCCAGCAAAACCTCTGGATGTACTTCCTCTCTGAAATGTTGCAACTTTCAAGCCGCAGCTGCAAAATCACTTTACTACACAAGTATACAAACCTCGATTGCCGTCCAGTCGTGCACCGACGGCAGTCAGCCGAAGGTTGGGACAGCTGAGACAATCCTGAGACTGGGGGGTGAGACACCTGAGACACCTGAGACACCTGAACCATTGCCGAAGTGCACTTCACGCAATACACTCGTTCTGCAAAGTGGCGGCTTTCGAGCCGGAGCTGCCAAAGTGTACTAGGGTTACAAAAAGCTAAGCGGTATCCGCTACCCGATGTGCTTGTCCTATACTGTTTTAACTGGTATTCAGGATGAAGGATGTGTCGGGCTAAGACGAGGCGAGGGGGCCCGTTTTTCCAAAGAACATCTAAAGCTCTGCCCTGGCACGCTTCAGCGCACAGCTTCCGAGCATGTTTGTTGCTCCAATTGATCCAATGATGCCAACCAGATCCCCTTATTATTTTGTCGCCAGGATTTGGGTTTCGCAACAAAACTCGCAGTGGAAAATCAGTCAAGCAGCGCTTCCCCGTGCTTGTCAAGATGCATGCATTCGCATGCGCCTTTGATGTTTGTTGCTTGAGGATCTGTGGCCTGTGAGAACGCCCAGTTTCAACACCAGATTGGATTTCCGCCAAGACTTGAACACTTACGCTTGACACTCAGCAGTGCGCTACATCTTTTGTTTGCCGAGTCGCTTTACTGCCAGACAGGTACTGAGCTCTTCAAAGGCTGGAGCGGCACATCGCAGCACATGCAAGCGACTCTTCCGCAGGTGCGATTTGTGCACCCAAAGACCGGGTTTGGCTTTACTTGGCTCTTTGCATCAAGAGGCTGGACAGTTGCATGTTTCAAAAGTCCCAGCTTGAAATGGGAGGCCCATCTTGCTGCACGGCCTGGTTGAAACATTCATCCAATGCGATACAGAGATGAAGGAGCACCTCATAAACTCCATTGAAGAGGCCAGGTTGAAAGCCTGTTTCAGCTGCGTGAGTTGCCGAGTCGCAGGCAATCAAGTACATTCCAGTTACGGAGCAGGAGCTTCAAGACGCAACAAACATTGTCGCTGCAAAACTTATCTAGCCTTTCCCTACAGCTTGTGGCTTGAGGTGTCTGGTAGGGGTGCATGACTGATCAAGTCCTGCAGTTGCTTCCTTTCTGTTCTGCAGAACTTGTCCTTTTGGAGCGTGTATTTGCTGGATTATGTAGCGTTGCCAACATGTGGGAATTGATCACAAGGTCCTTGTAAGGGCTTAGATATCATGTAGAGGGCCATCGTGCTGTAGATTTAATGGCCCGAGAAAGATTGGCGAAGAGGTTGCGAAAGAGCAATTGTTTGCTCCGCGTGCTGGCCTCGCCAACATTTAGCGCGGAAACAACCGTCAAACCCCATTTCACGGAAGCTGCTCAGCAACAAGCCCCATATTATGACGCGTGGCCCCTTTAATTGGAATGTTACCGGAAGCTCGCCTCGGCTTGAGGAAGGAAAATTGAATACAACCCAGCTCACCTAGAACTGGGCGGTTGTGAGAAAGAACAGTTTCTGCGCGCTGCAGCGCCAGAACTTGAAAAGCTTGATGACAGCGCCCCCAAGCCCAACAGAACTCGGCTACATTGAAGCAAGTTGGTTTTCTTTGATTTAACCATTTTTGTCTTAAACCATATAACCTCAATAACTAAGCAAATGCTAAACCGCGAAGCCCATGAAGCCTGGAGACATCGACCTCGAACTGAGAAGCAACGCAGCCCCCAGACAAACACAAAGGTGGCGTCGCCTGCCTTTTGCCCGTCTCCCTTGAGAACCGATATGGGACCACCCAACTTACTCATGGCATTGAGTTCAGTACAGGATTTCGTCCGCATACGGTCGTTGGGGGATTATCTAACTTGTGCAAAAAGACACTTGACTTACAGTGTTTCCCATGTCCATCGTGTGAACAACATATTTTGCATGTGGCTGACAAGAGAACACCAGGAAGACACAACAGAGAAACTAAACTACGTGTCATTAGGACTCGCATTGCAACTTGATTGACAAGCTGCCACAAGAATGTCCCGAGGAGCATCACACAATTTACAGGATAACTGGAGCATGAAAGGATTTGTTTTATTTGTCTATGTATGTGAAAGTGCAGGAACAGGCGGACATGTTGTTTGCTTTTGATAGCTTAGTAGCTTAGTAGATATGGATTGAAGATGATCGAGCGTGAGGAACCTGAACAGATAGTTAAATCACCAAACTGATGGCTTAGCAGGACTGAAAGATAGAACGCAGTGGACAAGATAAGCAGATGTGAGCCATGTTCACAGCAGAGGCCATGAACAGCAAGCAAGACAACCAACCAATCAAGATATTGACCACATTGAACAGCTTTCGCCTCTGGAACAAAGGCGACATGATATTATTGATGCAAGTCATGAGTCGTGTTGGACGTTTTGACTATTTATACAAACTGGTGACAGGCTTGTTGTACCTCAGCTGCAATCCAAGTAACAGTCCATAAGACGAGTCCTGTGCAGCTGTACTGTGCAGCTGTACATGCATGGATCCCCGACGAAGTGTAGCCTATGGCTGCATTGGGAGGAGCTGCTCGTTCTCGTGCAGAAGGCTCATTTGTCTTTCCGGTCCTGCTGCTCTCATGAGAAGATCTTATTCGCGGCACTGCCAGGCATCCCCTGAGACCGAGGCGTTGGTTTTGAAGGTTCTGAACATTCTGATGCCGCATCTTTAGCCTCTTCAATCCAGAAGTACTGCAATGCTCAAAGATTCCTTGAAATGTAAGGACGAGCCGTGGAAATGAACCTCTGCATCCGGGCTTTGGCGAGGCTGTTATCCGGCTGTACAAGGTACTGCGGATATTAAGCAATATGTCTTTGTGTGTACTTTGTGTGTACTTTGTGTCATTGTTGCCAATGGGTTATGATGCACCGCGACCACAGGAAACGAACAATCCCCGCTTGCTTGTGCCGGTCTTCGACTTGCTGGATCGTCACCTCCTGAGCGATACTCATTGCACGTGAAGATGCGCACTTCGGATGGCCTTCTTGCGCTTGTTCACAGGCAACAGTTTGTTGGACTTCTTGCCAGCTGTTCAGCGCTCAGCTCACTCTATCCTGCATGCCAAATTGAATTGCAGAAGGCAGTGCACGAATCACATTCACAGATTGACGTCGCGGTACCTTAGGCTTTATCACCGCTCTCCAATCTATCAAGGATCTCTATATGCCGACTATACACAGCCCCTAAGTTTTGTTCACAGTCTCTTGAACACCAGGAGCAACAATGCCAATGGAACTAGGTTGGAGGTGTTGGTCATGCCGCAAGGGAACGTGCCCCAAGGAAATTTGGAGAGGCACAGAGGATGGCAACACTGATCTGAAGGGCCAAGCGGATGCACAGTTGGCCTCACGCTCCCTGGAAGCTCAGATCTGACAGAAATCGCTGTGTAGAAGGTGCTTCGTCCAAACAAAGCTTGCAGCTGTACCTGCCTGCGCCCGTCCTTGTGCATCGGAACTGGCCTCGTTGGTGCACCTGGCAGCGCAGCTTGTATCCGCCACTTGCTATCCTCCTAGCCCACTGGCTGTTTGAATTGCAAGCCTCAGAACCAGGGTTCTGAGGCTTTTGAACTCGAGATTTGAATCCCATTGCTCTAGCAGCTCTGAGACGAGCCGTGAACAGATGGTCAGTATAGCTCGCAAGCAAGTCGTACGATCCGGAGTTATGACCTGCAACATTTGTAGTTTGCCAGCATAAAACAACGCCAGTTGGCTCTGAGAAATCTAAGCCCTGGATTCGCCTGTGAAGTACAGTTGCCATGCAAATGAACTGGGCAGGTCCTGCAACTGGAGTCGGAACGGGTGGCTGATGCGTTCCGCCTGACCATTGGAGCTCGGGCACCGCCACTCAGTGCCGCTCCCTCAGATATGAAGACTGGAGAGGCTGAGTGACAGGCATATTTATAATTCATGCATTACGCAGCAAGCTGAGGTGACTGAACTGCTGATGGAATTGCACCACGTCAATAGCCCTGGTGAAAACATAGTTGCTTGGACACAGACGGGACACCTGAATTTCTTGGCTGCAAAACGATTGACACTTTGAGATACCTCATGCTTCAGGTAGGTGCAAATCCTGGCAGTGTCATGGTTGAACAACTCCTTTTGCCCAGCTCAACGTTGTTTTGTCCGTGTGCTCACTGCGACTGACTGCCGTGCTGCAGTGTCTCCAAGGTTCCAATCAAATCATCGATGCAAGCTCTCAATATTGTGTTTGGTATGCGGGACTGCTTTGTGCACAGCTTTGGCAGCCTCAGCGCAGTTCTTCCCGTGCAGAGACTTGCCAGGATCAGTTTGACGCAAAGGTGTATGGCATTGTCATTCAGTCATTGGTGGAAGAACCTGGCCCACTTCCCACGCTCTTCATGCGCACAGTGATCCAAGTGGTCGAGCGCTTTAGCCTGCTCGTGCAATGGAAGTATCGCACGGGGCCACCGTTTCCTTTCGCAGCCCGCACCAAGGTCAAGGAGCTACCACGACTTTCGGATTTCATCGTCATGGAGATCCTTCCCAGACTTGTCCGGCAAGAAGTCTGGGGAGATGAAAACATGTGGTTGGGCACATAGACGCAAATTCCGCTCTTGCTTGGATGTTGTAGCCAAAGTGCTAAGGCGAGGCTTCATGATCGTTCTGCAGCACACATTCGCCAGCCAGCCGAGCGGTGCAGCCCGAGTTCTCGCAATGCTGCCTATATCACAGCTGGAGGAATCAGAGCTGTTGGTCTGCCAAGTTTTGCTGAGAATTGCACATGCGCAATGAATGCAGGACGTTCTTGTGCAGCATCCGGATTGGAAAGCCCAGCTGCGAGAGTTTGTTGCAAGACAACCTCCTGGCACCGTTATGCCGCATGTGAAGCAGCTCTTGGAGTAAAAAGCAAGCTGCATAGTTGCCTGGGCTGGTTGCGCTCTTTGCTGGCTATGCTGTCATGCTAGGTCTTCAATCAGCAAACTTGGCTGACGATTTGTGAGGAATGTTTCTGGTCAAAGCCCGGCACGGCGTTTGATTGCCCACAGGTGGATCCTGCTGCAGCAGTCTAGTCATGAAGCCCACAAAAAGGTTTGCATTGACGAGCAGCTGAGTGTCGCCGGAAGCGCAGGTAGAACTGCATAGATAATACGGAGTAGCCCGAAACATTGAAGACCAGCCATTGACAACGGCGCAGAATTCCAGCCCGCTTTGGTGTCTCGATCATGATATGTTTGTGCCAGGGCCCCAGCAAGTTTCGCACACTTGACCCATGTGTACCATTGTGTACCAGTGTCCGACCATCAATACTTTGCTTCTTTCCGAGGCGTTTCAGCCTTTAGCACCTTTCAGCCTGATGACAGGTTGACGCCCATGCTGCCCGGGCTGAACTCTAAGGCTTGCGCATGCTGTGAACAGAAGAATGTGCAGTACGGTTTGCTGTGGTGAAGTGCTTGTGACAAGGGAGAAACATTTGAGCAGCGTTCTAAATTACTCTGCAATTGAAAGTAGCAGTCGTGAGAAAATATGGATTTGAAAATGTTGTTCTTGCTCTGGTCGAGAAAGGCCGCGTAAGGGTTCGCGGAAAGGTTTTACAAATTGCCCAGTCGCGAAAGGTTCGCGTAGCCTTCTTGGATGCCTTCTACGAAGTTGCTGCGTTTCCATTACCGTACAAGGGCTCAGACACAGGGTGTGGTATGGTCCCTTGTCAATGTGGCAACATGATGCAAAACAATGGCAAAGTCCAATCTAGAAAGCCTTGCGGGTAACATGGCTGCGGCTCCCTTAAACTGCGAGATTTGCGTGTGCGGTGGCGCCTTGACGCGCCGCACCTTCAGTGGCATGGTGCGCGTAAGCTACACACACAGCCGCGGAAGCCCCGCGTAGGCCCTCGCGAAAGGAATTTGTTAGTGTCTCTGGCCCGCACAATGATGGAACAGCGCTCATCTGCCAGGTTAAGAAAGGGGCAGTTCATGATGGAAACAGCACAGCCACCTCTACGATGAGCTGGGAAGAAAGGACTCATGGCTGCCAGAGCTTGTTCTGCTCTTTGCCACCCTTGCACATGTGATGGGGAGAGTTCTGCGCTCAACCATTGCCCTAGCTCTTTGTCTAGCCCTACGACGTGGCAAGGAGTGCAAAAGTGTCGTGCTCAAGCAATGGCTTCGGGCGCAAGGTGCTGCCGTCAAATGGAGTCTAGGCCCCATTGGCATTTTCGCCTGATATGGCGCTTTGCAGGACTTGCTTGACGTGATGCTCACACGCGGCTGGTCTGAAACCTGCCAGGCTTTCCCAAGCATGTCTCCAGAGGATAGACGTAGAATGACGTAGAATGACGTACAATGACGTAGAATGACGAGATACGGGTTGTTTGTCACGGGCAGGCGCCTTCTCCGGCTTACCATCCAGAGATCTGCTCAGCACGGAGCTAGGCTCGAGACGGAATT